TAACACTGATGAAGACAATATTTTTGCAGACTGACCAACTTGTGTTCAATAACACTGATGAAGACAATATTTCTGCAGACCAACCTACCTGTGTTCAATAACACTGATAACACAATCATTTACCTTGGGTCCACTTTTTCCCTGTGGTTCCAGTAACTGTTGGCGATATCTGGCAAGTTTTGCTTTCAAAAGGCCAAGATGATACTCAGTTGCTGAATAAACATGAAAAACAAACAAACATTTGATATTTATCACATTCCTCAATGCAGATCGTAAACAAGCAGCTTGTTGGCTGATATACAATGTAGCTCCGCTGTTCCAGATGCATAATGAAAAAAAAATATCAAATCAATCTAGCCATTTTGAAGATAACAAGAATATCGGTATTCATTAAAATGATAAATTGTTGTTATTGTCGCTAAATAAATTAATCAGACAGAGGAAGGAATCAAATCAATGTAACAGAGATCCATCTAAGGTATCTACATATAAAATATCAGAACAATTAGGTTGGTGGTATTCAAAAAGATGTAACGAGCGATTATATTCACCAAAATCTAAACTAAAAATATCGTCATGAAAATCAACAAATTTGAGTCAACCCAAAGTACTTATATATAAAATATCAAGGCAATCAGGCAAGCTGTTTTCAATAAGAAAACCAAGATAGCCAGTTTTAAGAAGTTAAAAATCTCACATTTACAAGACTGGTGAATAAGTGAATATTTGAATGCATGAGCATATAAATCAAGGATTAATAGATTTATCCTAACATTTTGTTCTTTTAATAGTACAAGTTCTTTATTAATCACAAGGTTCCTTATAGAATAATATACCGTACTTTCCTGATCATAAGCCCCTCCCCAAGTATAAGCACACCCCTGTTTTTAGACATTTAACAAGTTGAGGGCATCCCACAGTATTGTGGCTGTGGGAATTTGGTTTGAATAAATCGCCACGTTTAATATATCTCCACAGAACATGCAGTAGACTCAAGTGATTGAGCTGAAAAGAAAGTTGTAATGACTTCTTTATTCATGGGTAGAATGCTGAACATTTCAACCAGTAATTACATCAGTAGTACAAACTTCTGTATTAAAACTGTGAGTGCCCTTGATGGGGGCAAAGAAGAGAATAACTGAGAAACTATGAACAAAATTCAAACGTGGACGCCATATCCATCAAGACTAGGAATCATGGGTACACTTGCATAATAATTAGCATGTTTGAGGTAATTTCTTCAGTATATAGCGAACTATGAATAAACTAGAATAATGTGAAAAATAAATCGTCATGGACATGTATAATCTATGTACAAAGTTTGAATGACAACTGACAAAGCATGTCCAAAATACAACAAATTGTCATGGACATGCATCCTAACATGTATAAAGTACATGTATGTGCCAAATTTGAATGAAAACGGACACAGCACGTCCAAGATACCGCATAAAAAAACAAAAACAAGATGCCTGCCAGTCGACCATCTTTGATCCAATTGCGAAATAAATCGTCATGGACATGTAACCTAACATGTATAATCTATGTACCAAGTTTGAATGACAACTGACAAAGCA